GTCTGTCTCGCCTCACTCTTCTCGTCTGTCTCACCTCACTCGTCTTGTCTGTCTCGCCTCACTCTTCTCGTCTGTCTCACCTCACTCGTCTTGTCTGTCTCGCCTCACTCTTCTCGTCTGTCTCACCTCACTCGTCTTGTCTGTCTCGCCTCACTCTTCTCGTCTGTCTCGCCTCACTCGTCTCGTCTGTCTCACCTCACCTCACTCATCTTGTCTGTCTCGCCTCACCTCACTCGTCTTGTCTGTCTTGCCTCACTCTTCTCGTCAGTCTCGCCTCAATCTTCTCGTCTGTTTCACCTCACTCTTCTCGTCTGTCTCGCCTCACCCTTCTCGTCTGTCTCGCCTCACTCTTCTCGTCTGTCTCGCCTCACTCTCACCTCACTCTTCTTGTCTGTCTCACCTCACTCGTCTTGTCTGTCTCACCTCACCTCACTCTTCTCGTCAGTCAGCTCGACTCGCTCTCCTCACTGGAGAAATTAAATCTGATCTGTGATGCGACTGTCGTTCGGCATGCTGCATTGAGCAGCCACGTTCAGTTTTTAATTGTAGTGTCTGTTCTTTTACTGAACTAAATGATTTTTATTACTATAAAAAATAAAAACGACGGTGGGGGTCGATGCCGCGGTGGGCAAGTGACGTAACCGGTGTTGCAGCTTAACACCGGTATCACCGTCAGCACCGTCTATCGCCGCAAGCCTAGTCTTCAGTGTCACATGATCTTCAGAAATCATTCTAATATGCTGATTTGCTGCTCGAGAAACATTTCTGATTATTATCAATGTTGAAAACAAACAGTTGTGCTGCTGAATATTTTTGTGGAAACCGTGATACATTTTATTTTTCAGGATTCACAGATGAATAGTAAGTTCAAATGAACAGAATTGATTTGAAATAGAAATCTTCTGTAGCATTATAAATGTCTTTACTGTTGCTTTTGATAAATTGAATGCATCCTTGATGAAAGTATTATTTTCTTTCAAAATAAAAACTTACTGATGCTTTAAAACATTTTAATGACAACCGTTTTATTCAATTTAATGGTATTGATGTTAACACATTTTAATAGATACTACAGTGTTAATGGAGACAGAGCCAGAGTTATTATACTTAACTAAAACTAAAACCATAAAAAAACATTTTTGTGAAATAAAGTAAGCATGAACTAAAATAAAATATATTTAAAAAACTTTTATTTCAGCTAGTTACCAAGGCAACATTTCTCATTTTCATTTAGTTTAACTTGGTGCACTAAAATAAGCAAAACTACATAAACAAAATGACTGAAAAAAACTAAATAATAAAAAAAACATAAAAAATAATACCATAAAAATCATTTTCATAACTTAAAATAAAATAAACATTAACATTACCTTGAAGTACTAAAATAACTCAAACTAAATAAATAAATAAAAATGTATAAAGATTATATAGCATATAAAAAAACTAATAAAAATGACAAAATAAACAACGAAATTACTACAACTAAAATTAAAGTTAAAACATAAAATATATAAAAAATCTAATTAAAAATATTAACAAAAACTGTAACAGTATATCAATGATACTAAAATAACACTGCACAGAGCATCATCTGGGTATTAGAGATGTGCTTCTAAGAGCAGCTGTCAGTCTGTCTGCTAAATCAACAGAAGGCTTGTTAAAATGTTCTCTGAGCTTCAGCCAGAAAGAA